CTTGGTACAGTGCATGCTCGTTACAGCTAATGCTTGGTACAGTGCATGCTCGTTACAGTGCGTGTGCTGTACAGCGCGTACTCGGTACAGTACAGTCGGTACAGCATACCTGACACAGCACACGTTTGTTACTGGTTGCAGTAACAGGATAGAAAACGTTTTAAAAAACGATCTATGAAAATGATCAGTGGAAAACATGGAAGGGCATTGAAATAAGGTACTGATCATCAAGGCCCACACAACAACAGCCAAGGATATGGACGAGTGCTCAAATCCTGGCCCTGTTGTTACTGTAGCAACTTGTCATATTGTACGAACTGATAAGTTTTGCTACATGAACTGGTAGTTTCGTGTTACTGTAAAAACTAGTGTTCGTAACCATAACGACTAGTTGTTGAGGAAAATGCAAAAAGTTGTGGTGTTTGCTCACCATGAGGATCCGTGAGGTTCCCATGGGCCTAGGCACACCCAGCAGAAGTCGGCCTTGCAGCTTTGATTCTTACACACCATGTGATTGCAGCCCCCATCCTTCTCAATGGTCACGTTGCATTTCGGACATTCCTGTTTGAATGTTAGAATGGAGTTAGCACACAACAGATACAATTACCACCGACACAGATGCTCATTCTTGTTCTTGGTAACCATGGAAACAGTGTTAATGAGTGTCTTCTGCTAAAACTTTAAAATTAAAATGATAAATATACGAGATCTATTGTTGATTGCCAGAATGACAATAAAGAAGGGCCTGTACAGTCTCTACGTTACACAGATCCAATGCACTGCCAATGTATGTTCGACCAGCTTACCACTCGATGAGATCAAGCCATAAAGTTACCGAAAGATAATGGGATTCAAATGACTGGCGTTGTTTTTAATTACTGGAACTCGGTTTTTAATTACTGGAACTCGTTTTTTAATTACTGACCTTGGTGTTGGCAGCAATCCAGTTTGACGTTTCACTGTCATCGTCACACTTCTTCTGCCATTTCTTGAGCAGCCTGCACTTCACCGGGTCATGCCAGCTGTTGCCGCACGCAAAACTGTAAGCAAATCGTGACGTCAGCGCATGACACCTCTCACACAAACGCTAACGAACAACAAAGGGAGGTGGCGAGAGCGAGCGTGAAACGCCTGCGAACTTTGCCGACAGCGAGACAGATGGGCGAGATCTCACGGCGATCGTGCCGATGAGGGTTTTAACGCGAGCGCGCCGTTTTCGCTAGTTTGAGCGTGTGTTACCAGAACGTGTGGGTGCATGTGCACGTGACAGGCCTTGCATCCGGATAGCTGGCCTTGATGACGTTGTTGCATTCCGGAGCCGGGCACCAACGCATCAGACGGTTGCACTGCAATCATTAAGGCTCAGGTTAGACGATAAGATGAGAATCGGTTCGTGCTGTTACTGCTGATGCTGGCCCCTTAACGAACCGTGTGAGATTACTCACGAGTAGATCAACTTACCTCGACGAAACTATTGGTTATCAGATGCTGATACTTTAATCGGACCTTCGAATCTGTGACGAGTCGCCTAGAAGTAGAAGGTTTTGTAATGCCTGTTAGTAATGTCGGCACTAGCTTAACGGAGAACGTTTCTCCTTACATCATGAGGCGGGGAAATAGCAGATACTGATAATGTCAAAATTACACGAGTCACGAGTTAATTTCATGAAGTACCTCCCCAGCGGCTCCTTAAGGGAAACGTTTGACGTAGACACGAACGAAGCATTAGCGACATCTTACGCGCATTAACGATTAAGTAAATGTGCATCGCTGGCAAATAGGTGAATACTAGGTACAATACACCTGATTACAACCCCTGATATGATTCTAGCAAAACAAATTGGCAATTCGAGAGGAAGGTTGGGAGGAGATGTACTGACCTACCACCAGCTAATGGACATCACTGTATGGAGGGCAACATGCACTTTGGGGGGGGGGTATCTGAACGTAAAGAGCAAGCAAGCGTGTTTGCGCACGTAAAAGTGCAACACTGCGGGGAATCTACGTGAAGTATTGTGCTTACATCACCGTCGCGTCGTCAACCAGTATGTCACAGGCATGAGCTGCACACTCGATGGTCTGTGGATAGTTAAAACAACAGCGAGTTGCATTAGCCAAGCACTGATATCACTGCTGCAGATTTCTCGTGTATAGCTGACTCGTGTTCATCAACCAATTGTTATATGTCCCGAAGAACAAAACGTCAGAGAACATACTTTGGAATCTCATAGCAACACAGGCGATGTGCGTGGTTTCAAAACAGAAGCTGATTCGACAGTGGGGGAGTGGATGCAAAATATCCACGCAAAAACTGTTGCTTAAAATAACACAGATTCGAGAGGGGGACTGCAACCTTGTAACCCATTGGTTTTCAGTCATCACCCACAGACGCGCAGATTCACAGTACCCTCTGCACTGACAATAGATCACACCAACAACATAACGATTACCGCCTCCCGATTATTACCAATTGCTATATAACCACTGGACGCTGGCAAACGGGGAATGCTAATCGAATATGGAACATGGTCCGCACCCATAGAAACTCTACAAGAACAGAACCTGTGTAACTTATAATACGGGTGGTACTCGTACCTGTCCCATGCCCTCTTCCATGATTTTCGTGGTGAGGTAACCGCACCAGCATGTGGAACAGAAGCGGTGCCCACACTCCAGCCCTGTCATCATCTGCAACGGCAACGTGTTACCATCAACGCCTCGTCGTCACGCCACAACGTTTTCTTTGCTTGCCTTCACCTCCCTCAGCAAGCCGACACAAGAGAACCATGAGGGCAGCGGTGGTAGAGGACGAGCGAAAATGCTGGTAACATTCTCGATGCGCAGCCAAGGCACGACTTTTAACATGAGGAAATGTACATGAGTAGGACAGCATTACGGCAATGACAATGGCAGCACAGGCAAAGAAGGTTTGAAGGCATAGTTACCGCAGGAGAAATCTCTTCAGATGATCTTGTTGCTGGCTTGATAATTTCCTGTCCCGAACAAACCTAAACTGCTTAGCTACAGAACTAAATAATTTCAGATGTAATGGTATATACAGATTACATACATGCATGTCAAGCATACACACTAATCACACCTGGATCATGTAACATTTTGTTATGCAATATCATAATTATGTATATGTGCATCCACTTGCACAATAAATGGTAAAGAGCAAAACTCTTTGTGTATGCGTACGCTAAAAACTCTTCATAACCACTGTATTAAATTATTCACTCTTCAATACCTTTCTTTCTGCCAAAATGCAAATTTCCTTCTTGGGATTAATGAATGTTGCAAGGCACATATTAGACTACTGAAAAGATTATACTTAATACAGTCACCGAAAAAACTGCACTGCTATGTATGTACAAACTTACTCCTCGACAGCGCTGTAACTGGAATAAAACTTACCGATGGATGCATGTTGCACAGACAAATTTCACAAATTAACTCCTCATTTTTGGAGTCGGGAGAAGTTCGTGCCCTCTGTAAAGAGTCGTGGAACAAAGCAAAAGTTAGCAACAAGCACTCCGTGTTAGTGCACCATCCTCATCTAAGCGCACATGTATGTGGCAGTTATATATATATATATATATATATGTGTGTGTGTGTGTGTGTGTGTGCATGCGTACGTGCATGCGTCCGTCCATGCGTGCATACATATAACCACCACACGTTCGATATGTGTGCGTGCGTGTACGTGCAGTTATTAAAAGGATTGACACAGCAAGTATTCTTTTAAGGATATCATAAATAAACACTGCAAAGATGAGTAACATGTACTCTACATTTACGTGTTTATCATCTTTATATGTATCATAGTAAGTCAAATAGTCATGACCCGTCAGAAAAATTTTAAGTCGGAATTCACAGTCAGTATCCCACTGAGAATCTGTACCTTTCCAGACTTTGTTTGGCATGGCTTCCTGTAAGGGCTGATCACATGAGCTTCAGCAAATACTGCTTCTTGATCACTGTCATAGTATCTGCCAAAAATAAAACATCCGACAAATAATACTGCACACATTTGATAACCTTGAACTCACACAACTCAATGGAAGTTTACTATACTGGGTATTACCATGACATATAATAAATTGTGTAATAACATAATTAGTCATACACAAACCTTACCTCTCCATCAGTTTCTCTTTATCCCATTTAAAGTGGTTTAATAATATTCTGGTGGTTGTTGCTGGTATCTGAAAGATCAAATCAAAACAATTATTTACTATTATTATACATAGCATTGCGTGATTATGCAATCCAGTTCATGACACTTACTAAAGATATATTCCTTTGTTCAGAACAGTATGGTTATCTATATGAGTCACCAGGTCAACCCTATTATCAACCAGGTGTTTATGAAAATTAATTGTACAGCAAAACGAGACACAGAAAAAGAAGAGTTCACATGGTTAACTGCACCGACTTTAAAGAAATACACGAAAAGATCACATTTTTTCTCAAAATTACTTGTACCAGTACAATCTTGCACTTAACTAACTTAACTATAACAAATTGTTATAAACACAAAAAATCACAATATTATATTGAAAAAGCAGGCACTTGTGTGTTTGTTGTTTCCCAACTTGAAAGAGTACCAGTCCCAATGTGTATTGACGCAATTGGGACGCAACTCCCTGCAGAGTTTTATCTTACTGTCCCCACAGTAACCATAAAGTACCTGGCTGGAACTTCATTCGACCAAGTTCATTCTATATTCAAGTCATGAATCTTACCACTAACTTAGTTATCACACTATGGCTCATAGGGTCTATGTCCCCCAGGGTACTGCCGGAACGTACCCTGGGTACGGTCCGGTATAGCGGAACGTGCCCTGGTCACTATTTGATATCCATGGTTAGGGTTAGGATTAAGGCCAAGACACACTGCAGCGACAGCGACCGACCGTAA